CCAGATATTCATATAATATTCCTCTAAACCAATTTGTGTAAAATTACACATTTATGGATTATAGATATTGGAATATGAATTGAGCAGACTGATTGATTTGGAAATGGCCATTTGCAATAACAATAATAATAATAGGGTGGCACGGTGGCACAGTGGGTAGCACAAATACCTCACAGCAAGAAGGTTGCTGGTTTGAGCCTTGGCTGGGACAAGTGACTTTTCTGTGTGGAGTTTTGCATGTTCTCCTCGCGTTGGCGTGGGTTTCCCCCACAAGTCCAAAAACATGTGCTATAGGTGAACTTGATAAGCTAAATTGGCCGTAGTGTATGTGTGTGAATGAGTGTGTATGGATGTTTTCCAGTGATGGGTTGCAGCTGCTGCGTAAAACATGTGCTGGATTAGTTGTCGGTTCATTCCGCTGTGGCGACCTCAGATTAAAACAGGGACTAAGCCAAAAAGACAATGAATGATTAATTTTATTGTTCACTGTTACTTCTATGTTGCTTGAGTGTGACCTGTTGCTGTTAACTGTTGGCTACTGCTGTAAGCCTAATTGCCCCTCGGGGACAATACAGACATTCCAATTCCGATTGTTATAATCAGTGTAAACAGCTGTGCTGATGGCTTAGAGATTAAGAAATGGATGGAATCATACCTGTTTGGTGGCACACAGTGTGTTAATATACAGAACTACAAATCTACAAACTACCCTTTGGGTATATCCCAGCCTGATCTCACGAGGAAACGTAAGTATTTTATGTTTTGTCAGTTTAGTGGCTAATTCGTACGAATTCATACAAGTTCAGTCGTACGAATGTACGATTTTAAAAAGGAGGCGTGGCACCTAACCCCACCCCTAACCCCAACCGTCATTGGATGATGAGTAAATAATACTAAATTGTACGAATTAGATTGTACGAATTCATACGAATTAGCCACTAAATCAAAAAGAGTACGAATTGCCATGAGATTGCGTTGGTATATCCACAGGTGTTCCACAAGGATCTATTTTGGGCCCTTTACTTTTTACTTCATATGTCAATGATCTTTCAACTATTTGTCCTAATAATAATATACAAATGTATGTGAATGACACTGTTATATTTATTCATAGTAGTAGTGTGTTACAAGATGCAAAGAAACTCACAGAATCGCAGGTATATGTTTAGCCTGGTTAGATCTATGCTGTTTACAGTTGAACATCTCTAAAACCGTGTGTATGTTCTTTTCTAATAGGTTAAGTGTAGTACCTGATGTATTTGTACCAGCGGAAAGATTACAAGTTGTATCTAAGTACAAGTACCTTGGTGTTCTGATAACCGGGTTAGATTCAGTTCAGCAAATTTCAGATTTACTCGTGATCAGATGTCATGTGAGGCTGCCCTAATCTATTATCACTCCTTGATCATTTCTCATTTCACTTATTGTTTAACCACTTGGTCCCAAGCTAGCGTTACTACTTTAAAGCCACTTGAATCATTATACAAACAATCCTTAAAAACCCTTGATTAAAAATCAGTTCAATTTCACCATTGTTCAACATTAAAGAAACACAACCTACTTAGCTGGGAAGATTTGATTAAATATGTACAAATTTGTTTACTCTTTAAGATTCTACATAACACGAAGTTAGAACGACTGCTCACCAAACTACTAGAGGTTGTAAAAGAGGGGACTGTATTATTTCTCAAAAAAAGTAAGTTCAGTCAGTCTGTATTTGCAGTGAAAGGCTGAAAGCTGCTACGGAATGGAACTCTATCCCACCAACAATTAGAAGATCATGCACTTTTTGTTCTTTCGGTTTCATGTTAAAAATTGGTTAATTAGCATTGTCAGCATTAGTGTATTTTTGACACTTTTTTTGTACATTTACATTTAGTCATTTAGCAGACGCTTTTATCCAAAGCGACTTACAAATGAGGACAAGGAAGCAATTTACACAACTAAGAGCAACAATGAATAAGTGCTATAGGCAAGTTTCAGGTCTGTAAAGTCTAAGAAGGGAAGTATTAGTAGTATTAGTATTTTTTTTTGTTTTTTGTACAGTTAGTGTGATATTCAAAAAGGCAATTGCAGATTAGGAAGTGAAGTGGAGACTAAATAGTTGAGTTTTTAGTCGTTTCTTGAAATTAGCGAGTGACTCTGCTGTTCTGATGCAGTTAGGGAGTTCATTCCACCAACTGGGCAGATTGAGCGTGAGCGTTCGCGAAAGTGATTTTTTTCCTCTTTGGGATGGAACCACGAGGCGACATTCATTCACAGAACGCAAGTTTCTGGAGGGCACATAGATCTGCAGAAGTGAGAGCAGATAAGAAGGAGCAAGGCCAGAAGTCACTTTGTAGGCAAACATCAGAGCTTTGAATTTGATGCGAGCAGCAACTGGCAGCCAGTGCAAACGGACTAGCAGCGGAGTGACATGTGCTCGTTTAGGTTCATTGAAGACCACTCGTGCTGCTGCATTCTGGAGCAGTTGAAGAGGCTTGATAGAGTTAGCTGGAATCCCAGCTAGTAGAGAGTTGCAGTAATCCAGTTTGGAGAGAACAAGAGCTTGAACAAGGAGTTGAGTTGATGTTATAGAGTGCGAATCTGCACGATCGAGCAGTTCTAGAAATGTGGTCAGAGAAGTTTATTTGGTCATCAATCGTTACTCCAAGGCTTTTCACCATTTTGGATGCAGTAATGGTTGCCCCATCCATCTGGATTGAAAAGTTATGGTGTAGAGTACTGTTTGTCTTTGGCTTTTTTGTCATCTTCTGTTGCCAAAAATCTGTTTTTTTTTTTTTTTTGTATTTTATATATGATTGTGGATTAGATTAGATTAGATTAGATTAGATTAGATTAGATTAGATTAGAAAACTTTATTGTCCACATGTGTGGAAATTCCTTTTTGGCCTCCCAAACATCACAAAAACAAACACAAACACAAACACAAAGCTTCCTTCTCCAAAGATTACCATCACACATCCCTAGTCATCCAATCTACTTCATGATCATTCATTCAGTATGGTAATAGCAAACGGTATAAAAGATTTCTTAAAAATATTTGTTTTTGCTGTGGATACTCTGTATCGTCCACCAGAAGGAAGCTTTTCAAAATTCATAATAAAGAGGATGAGTTGAGTCCTGAACTATCTGAGGCTTTCCGTCTGGTCTGGTTTGTGTACAGTTCCACAATCTGCTTCTGGGGGTCCATTATGATCTTCCTAGCCATATTAACGATGTTTGCATGGTTATACTTGCTTCTAGCTCCAAGATTTCCCTACCGGCAAGAAATATTATAGGAGATAATACTTCCAACCAGACTGGTATAAACCTTCCTCAGAATACCCTTATTAACATTAAAACTATTTAATTTTATTACAAGGAAGAGTCTCTGTGTTGCCTTCTTGTAGATATAGTCTGCGTGTTCACCAAAATCTAAGCCACTATCTAAAATAATTCCCAGATACTTAAACCTGTTTACAATCTCCACATGTTGACCCTCAATAGTAACTGGATGACATATAGGCTGCCCTTCCCTACTAATAATTAGTTCCTGAGTTTTTAAAGCATTAAGTGACAAAGCACTGTCCTCGCACCAAGTCACCAGATATTCTGTGTACTCAATGTAGGCCCTCTCTAGCTCCTTCTTTCCTTTGACCATAAGTCCAACCACAGTCATGTCATCAGCATACTTGAGTAGGGTAATATTGCTTTCAGAAATCTGCATTTCACTTATATACATCGAAAATAATGTATTGTAATTCTATGTTATTATGCTGTGCTTCTGTTTTAGGTGTTTTTTTACATTCTTTAAGGGGGTTACAGATGAAAAATAGCCATTCTTGGCTAACCCTGGCACATATTACTGTGTTTATTAATGCGCATTGACCCTGTAAACAAATAAACTAAACTCAACTAAAAAAAAAAAAAAAAAAAAAAAATCAAGATTTAACAAAAAAATAAATAAAAAATAAATAAATTCAACAATAATGCATTAAATTAAATGACTCCACATCCCAATATATAATAGTTCTTAGTATAATTAGCTCTTTCTTGTGTATATTGCCTCTTTTTGTTGAATGGCTGAATGCCTTTTGAACTGTGAATCATTTTGGACCAAATGCATCTGCTAAATATAAATGTAAATTGTTAAAATGCCACATTAGGCAAGGCAAGGCAAGTTTATTTATATAGCACATTTCATACACAGTGGCAATTCAAAGTGCTTTACATAAACAAGAATAAAAGAAACAAGTAAAAAATAATAATAATAAAACTGATTAAAAAAATAACAGGTAAAATGTGATATAAAAAAATGAAGAAGAAGAGAAAAATGATCATTATGATCATTAAACACAAAGTAACTAAATATTTCAACATTCTATTTAATAAAGAATCTTAAAAGAAAATGAAACAATAAATATTAGGCACCATAAACATTAATATTATCAAACATTTAAAACAGTATGCTATATATGCATATGTTATGAATTCTGAAGGGTCAAGTGACGGTATAAATTAGATTTTAATGAAGACTATATTAAAAGCAGTTGAAATGGAATTAGACAATTTGCACTTATACAAATAAATTCCTTTCTAAATAAACTTAAAAATCTGAATATTTAAAAATTCCTGGTTCAAACCCTGACAGTTTTACAGCCCTGCCTCTTCATCTCCTCCAACGTGGCATTTCCAGCCGCAGCGTTTACCGAGAGTCAGAGGAATGTGGAAGATTTGATCTAACACACACCTTTTGGACAGCTCGTCTAATGTATTGACATGCTACATTGTGTTTCATTATACCTTACGTTTAATTAACATCTATTATATTTTAAAAAGCATTATACTTGATGTTTAGTATAAATGACAACTGAAAGACACACCTGTGACGTTGCACACCTGTACGGAAGCCCTACACAGCACAATTCATTGGATGACTGAGACGCACTCGTGTGATTGACAGATATAATGGCCAATGGGATACTCAGAAAGGCGGGGCTACATCTCAGTACAATGACGTAAGCTTTTGCCTAAAGATGAGACGGCAGTGCGAAACTTGGTTGACGTAGCCCAGCAACGACTAGCAGTAGTTTAGTCTACTTTATGACTTATTTTACTTGACGACCGCATTATATATTGCTGTCAAGAGAAGGTAATATGTTATATGTTTTATTTTTTGGCTCAAAGGTTGTTTAACGCACGAAGCTCGCGCGTAATGAAGCGCTCGTGATCAGCCGACGCGTCTTGTAAACGAAGTTCTGCGACTATATAGTAAATATATATTACCACAAGCATCTCGTGGTTCTCCGGGAGACATTGCTGTCTTTACATTTGAAAACACGGAGTTCGTATTAGCCGGTAAGAAGATTAAAGTCATGACTGGTAGAGAGGACGAGTATGACTATCTCTTTAAAGGTAAGTCCACTTTACTGAACTTCACTGAGGTAAAGATGGTTTTATATATTTACACGTTCGCACTCTCTCCTTAATAAGATCATTTCATTAAAAATATTCCTTTATTTTCTTTTCGGCTTAATCCATTTATTAAGCAGGGGTCGCCACAGCGGAATGAACCACCATAAAATATTCAAAATAGTGGAATCATATTAGCAGCCAATGACTGTCGAAGTACAACATCGTTCACAGTCATATACATAGTGCTAATTTTGTAATCAAATCATACTTGGATGTGATTTCAGACCGAATATTCAAAATACCATGGTAAACCATATAGGGAGCGGGTCACAAGTTGTCACTGAACGAATGTGCGACTCTAAAACCAACATTACCTCAATAATAAACTTCCACAACAACTGACTTTCAGAAATGTCACTTTCTTCTTAAGATATGTATTTTTAAAATTCTAAACCAGAAATTATCATGGTAAAATTGTGGTTTGTAAACTGCTAACTGTTCCTAATTCAACTTGTAGTCAGTAGCAGGTTGACCTCTTTGAACCAGTTGGTCAAACCAAGGTGGACAAGCTGGTTTTTTGGACATGGTGGCAGGTTAACCTGCTAATGATCATATTTGTGGAAAAAGCCGATTAATACTTCTTACACAGAAATAGGCATGGGCTGGTATAAATTTCTGACGATATGATAACCTTGGATCAAGGGTGCCTAAACTCAGTCCTGGAGGGCCGGTGTCCTGCACAATTTAGCTCTAACTTCCTTTAACACACCTGTCTGGAAGTTTCTAGTATACCTAGAAAGAGCTTGATTAGCTGGTTCAGATGTGTTTAATTGGAGTTGGAACTAAAATATGCAGGACACCAGCCCTCCAGGACCGAGTTTGGACATCCCTGCCTTGGATAAAAGTATCATGATTTAACTGCATCACATTATTGTGATTGCTGCTCTACAATAAGTTTTTTTAATGTCTGGGTAAAAAAAAAAAACACTTTTCCCCACATTTCCCCCGATACATTTTATTTTAGAAAACATATATGATATTTCGGAAGTCAGAACAGTAAACATGTCAGACTAAATACAATTCTACTGTTTTCATTTGTTTCAAAAACACAGATTTCTTTACAATTTAAAATGTCATCTTTTGGATATTTTTTTCTGCTGGAGATACTTTTGTCCCAAATACAAGCAAAAAAAGTAAACAAAATATTGTACTAATATCTTTGGAATGGTATAGCAGAAAATTTTGACGGTTTCAAAACCTTTACTTTTCCAAACCGCAGTATACCTTGAAAACGGTTATCATCCGATACCTAGTTTCATTAACACAGATTTCCTTACAACGCATAAAATAAACCCTTACATACAGGGGCAGATTAAACCAATAAGCAAGGTAAGCGGTTGCTTATGTCCACAGGATATCCAAGGGCCCCCCAAAAATATCTAGAAATATAAATTATATCTATAAATTGTATAAATAACATAATTTTTTTATCATATTTTGTTTGGCAGGTGTCTAAACAAATAATATTTTAATGATTATTACTTCTGCGCAAATGTGTCCCCCACCTGTAATCATGGAGCAGTCCAGCAGACAAACTGGGTAAATATTTAGTTTTAAAATGCAATAGTTTATATGTTGTATCAGTTGTGAATTAATTTTAAGAAAACAAATTATTTAAAAAAGTTTTACAAGATACTTTACATGTTGTTAATATTATTTTGTATTAAGACAAAATACAAAAAAGGAGATTAAGTGATATAAGAAACAAAAAACAGCAAAATAAACTAATCAAAAATAATCTAAAGTACAAACTTTTAGGCCCCCCATGGCTGTAATTGCTTAGGGCCCCCAAATCACTAAATCCATCCCTGCTTACCTATACCTTAGGAACGATATAACAGAAGATTTTTGCGGGTTTAAAACCTTGACTTTTCCAAACCATGGTAAACCTTGAAACCAGTTATCATCCCATGCAGACACAGAAATGATACAGGTTTGGAAACAATTATTAAATGATTCACGATTACAAAGAAAAGGCAGGTAAAATATTGAAATAAACCTAAATGTCGGAAGTAAAAATGTTCTTGCAGGATGTACAGTATTCCTGAAGGGATAGTTTATCAAATAATGAAAATTCTGCTATCATTTACTCACAATTGACTTGATTTATAACACCAGTTTGAGTTTGTTGTTCTGTTAAACACAAAAGAGGATATTTTGAATAATGTTGAAAACTGGTAACCATTAACATCCATAGTAGAATAATTATATATTTCCAACATCTATAAAAAATCTTCTTCTGTGTTCAACTGAACAAAAAAAGCAAATTTTTTTGACATGGAACAAGTCAAGAGTGACTAAATATCACAGTCATATCGCTAAATAACGGCAACATTTTATAATCAGAATATAATTTCAATATATATTATGCAATAGACATAATTTCATGTACTTTCAATGAATTGTTTCTAAGCACAAAATTTTAGCCTTATCAAATGATACACAACACGATTGGCTTCTTTTAATGTCTTGCTTTAACCGTCAACCACATTTTGATCATATGATATGTAAACAAACAGTTTGAACATTAAATGAATGCTCCTGTCTCATAGAAACGGAAAGAAACATTTTGTACTTCGCGTGGAAACTGATTTTGAGGTTTCCTTCAGTAGCGTGAGTAATACAAGCAGAGTTAAACCGGTAAGACCTGTATAAATCGGGCCTTCAGGATGGGTTTGTGCTCAGGAGGCTTTAAAAACTGAAGTCAAAAGACACATTTGATGCAAGGAAATTTATCCAGTTACTCTGTTTAAAAAAATCTCTAATGTAAATATGAATTAATCAGGGGTCGCCACAGCAGAATGAACCGCTAACTTATCCAGCATGTGTTAAACAGTGGATGCCCTTCCAGTTGCAACCCAGTACTGGGAAATATAAATATTAATGATGAACAAATATGATCGTCACTAATCTGACCTCTGTGGTGGTCATGACATGTCCATAAGTTATAGTTTTAGCCTTAAACTCCACGCTCTCTGTTCACCGTTTGCTGTTTGATCCTGAATCAATCAGTGCTCTTTAATCTCAGCTCTGCTCTTCAAACAAGCCTGTCCGGCAGCTTTAAAACAAGCAGAAGTCTTTGTCAAAGTGCATGCCTGTGTTCCTAACTTAGATCATTTATTATTAGACCAGACAATATTAGTATGCTAGTGGATTTTTTCCTTTCATGTATATATGATGGCAATAATAGCTGTAATTTTAAAAACTTGGGCAGGATGAAAATTAAAATGGGCTTTTCTGTTAATAAAAAATCTCGTCTGACAAACAGGCTGAAAGGCAAGTCGTTATTCATTGATTATCTTTTCCTCCTTTGAAATCGTTCTCGCTTCCACATTCTGTGATTTTTAAAAATTCCAGTTAATAAACAGGTTGTCGGATGTCCACAGTGAATGTGGCAAGGTAGTGAATATACAAATTTGTTTCTATTTTGCATGACTAACTTTTTTTTTTTGCATGACTAACTCACCAGTATGTGTAAAAAAAAAAAAAGCTCATGTTGTGTAAAAAAAAAAAAGATATACAAGTTTAGAACATAAAAAGACATATGACCAAGAAGTGAACATATGGAGACAGCATTAAAAATATTTTTTTTTATTACTCATTTTTGAATAGAAATATGCTCTTTTAATATAGATTTTCAGATTTAAAAATTTACAAAAAATAACAAAAAACTACTTATTCATCTCTTGAGCACAGACCTGCTTGGACAACACTGTTATACACCACATCCGGTCGGCCGGTTGCATAGACACAGAAGTTCAAATATTTAAACCAATTTGCAGCTCAAATTGAATCCAAATTTTCCAGATAAATAGATGATCGGACTACTCTCCGTTGCAAATGAATGACCTCTGGTCCGTTGCTTGTTGTTTGTTGAGTGTATGGGTGTTTCCCAATACTGGGTTGCGGCTAGAAGGGCATCCGCTGCGTTAAACATATGCCAGAATAGTTGGCAGTTCATTTCACTGTGGTGACTCCTGATAAATAAGGGACTAAGCCAAAGGAAAATAAATGAAGAAATAAATACACACACACATATATATATATATATATATATATATATATATATATATATATATATATATATATATATATATATATACACACACACACACACACACACACACACACACACACACACACACATATATATATATATATATATATATATATATATATATATATATATATATATATATATATATATATATATATATATTACTATTTAAAACAGTTTTGTTTTGCTTAATACTTTTGTGTAAATTGAAATTTTCCCACATGATTATTTGATGAATAGTAAATTCCGAAAAACTTCTGACATAAAGTCTAACATAGACTTGTGATCAGTTTAATTCATACTTGCTTAATCAAAATAATAACATTTTAATACACTTAATCTTATATACTTAATACAAAAAGCGTATTATATCTTTTGCAAGTGATTAAGCGTACTGACCCTAAGCAATATGTTTTCACAGTAGCATGACTGTAAATAAAATTCATAGTTAGTATTTTTTCCAGCTATGTGTCTCTGTCAACTGCAAAAAGTATTTCACCTTCCCAGTATTTCATAAGTCTACCTGTGTGGGTGAAAAGGGAGTTGCTCTTCGGTCTTGCCCTTTTTTGCTCATTGTCAAAAGCTTTGTAGAAACACACCCTCTGTGTGTGAAATGTTCGACTCTGATTGCTGTTGTGCGGTGAAGGGAGGCCGTGTTGTACGAATGGAATCTGCTTTAAAGAGCTTTTTACAGTGTCATTACAATAGCGCACACAATAGCCCTTAAAGGCTGGTTGATTTGACATACTCGTGTCATCTACAGTCCTACACCTACATCTACACCCCTCCTAATTTATTAGCCCCCCCTGTATATTTTCCCCCAATTACTGTTTAACGGAGAGATTTTTTTCAACACATTTCTAAATATAATAGTTTTAATAACTCATCTCTAATAACTGATTTATTTTATCTTTGCCATTATGACAGTAAATAATATTTGACTAGATATGACATGACATTTTAAGGGTTAACTAGGTTAATTGGATTAATTAGGCAATCAATGTATAACAGTGGTTTGTTCTGTAGACTGTCGAAAAAAATATTGCTTAAGGGGCTAATAATATTTACTTACATTTTTTTTTTTCATTTAAAACTGATTTTTCCCAGAGATGAGTTGCGGCTGGAAGGGCATCCGCTGCATAAAAACTTGCTGGATAAATTAGCGGTTCATTCTGCTGTGGTGACCCCGGATTATTAAAGGGACTAAGCCGACAAGAAAATGAATGAATGAATAAAACTGCTTTTATTCTAGCCGAAATAAAAACAAATAAGACTTTCCCCATAAGAAAAAGTATTATAGAAAACACTGAAAATTCCTTGCTCTGTTAAACATCATTTGGGAAATAATTGAAAAAGTCACTGGGGGGCTAATCATTTTGACTTTAATTGTTTACCTGCAGTGGTTCTGATTGGTGACTCGGGTGTGGGCAAGAGTAACCTGCTCTCTCGCTTCACCCGCAATGAGTTCAACCTGGAGAGCAAGAGCACCATCGGGGTGGAGTTTGCCACGCGCAGTATCCATGTGGAGGGCAAGACTGTCAAAGCTCAGATCTGGGATACGGCTGGACAGGAGAGATACAGAGCCATCACATCAGCGTAAGTGTGAACATGTCAGTTTTACAGTCTGTTTGTTTCGTGAAAATATTCACTTTAAATAACTGGGGCTTTAAGAAGCACTAAAATGATAGTACAGCTAAATTAAACTAAGCTAAAAAGTAAATTAAGCTACATTGTAAAAAATGCAGGGTTCCATACAATTCATGTTGTCCCTACACAAATCGATTAAGTTAGCATAATGAATTTAAGTGGATTGAACATAAAACAGTTCAGTTTTCCCGAAAAAATCTCAAGAATTTTGTTGTTTCAGCTCATTTTAACCTCCTAAACTCTGCGGACCTGGGGCCTCATGTACGAAGACTTGCATGGAAATCATACTAAAACATTGCGTACGCACAAAGTACGTAGAAAAGTTTCTGCGTACGCAGAAAAAAATTCATATGTATGAAACACTGCGTACGCCGAATCTCACGCATATTCTTTTGTACATCCGAATGAACGTGAAACTGAGCGCAACATGCACGAGCGCAAAACCCCTCCCTGCCTCCTCCCCAGTATGAATATGCTAATGACTCTACTTTGGCAAAACCCAACGAAAAAGCAACGGCAAAAGCAATCAAAAAGAGAAACTTTGAACAGAATGTGAATTGGAGGCGCTCCTTTCAGAGATAGACCGGAGAAAAGCGGTGTTATTTGCAAGTTTGTTCACCGGAATTAACAACAAAAGACAAAAATAGAGTGGGAGAGTTTAGCTGATGCGGTTAACACAGTTGGGTCTGAACATCGCACTGAGTGAATTAAAAGAGAAATATTGTGCTTTATAGGTGTAAAATGTTGCAGTACCATTAACAGTCTCAGTGGCGTAGCTCGTAAAACGCGTGTCGTCATGTTTTGACATGTTCGAGCATGAACTCGGTTCGAATCCAGCGTCTGAACTTTTTCTTCTTTTTTCCCCCGCTACATATCAGATTTTGCCAACTATTTATCACGAGAAAGACAAGTAGGAATCATTAATAAGTTTGTGCATCATATTTTATTTGCACATTTATTGAATGGAAATGTTTCTGATTCACGTATGCAAATTCATCTTCAGATAGTGTCTTTATAGCAATGTGTGTGCAGTAGATCGCTCAGATTAGATTGGGAAAACAGGCGACTGCTGCAAATTGTGCTTTAATGTTTGGCTGGTCAACTGTATGGTATGGAAACCTTGTATACCTGCTAGATGAACCCGTCTCATACAGCTGCCATTGCAAGGCTCAGACACTTTGTAGAGAGCAATTTAACACAACTGCCTCTAGGAGTGGCCAACGGAAATAAAACAGACACGCACAAAAAATGTGCGTACGCTAGCTATAAAGCTGGCGTGGAGGTGCGCACGTTACCACGTTCAGTTCATTGTTCGTAAATCCAAACGTGAGCGATTCTGAGCGTGAAACCTGGCGTACGTTTTTGTGCGTACGCAGCGTTGATACATGAGGCCCCTGGTCCGTGACATTATTTACTTCCGCATTTTTTAACTATTAAAGGTCTGTACTGGACCAATACCCCCATAAGTGGTTCAATTCTCTCATCAGTTGGAATAGAATAACTTTTGCAAGGATTATGATTAAGACATTTTTCTTTTTCCCTATGATTACTGACATCTGCAGGAACCACCAAAATTAATTACAGCAACCTAGATCACACAGAAACTAAAATGTACACTTAAATTTGAGTTTAAATAAAAGAAGAGCCTCTTTTATAGAGGGGTTTATTACAACACAGACCACATATATTTTATGTTTATAGTTCAGATATAAACACTGATGTTTATGGTAGAGATTAAAATCACTGTTTGAATGGAACTTGACACTGGTGAATGCTGTAGCAATTACATTGTGTAACCAACGGGTGGCGACAAACCACCATCAAAATTATGTCACTAAATAGGTTTTCAAAAATGTCACACCTAAAATGAAACATGAAGGTCTACGTGTGAACTATTGAGTCATTAATTGAAAATAAATATTATATGCTGTAGAAGATGTTAGATTTCTTTATTTAGCATTATCAGCAACAGTAGCAAAGATCATTTCATATTTCATATTGAATATTTTCCTTTTTTTCAGCTGGTTCTTTCTTGATTTCTACTTTATTAAAATGACAGGTTCTAAGTTACATTTGTTAAAACCAATGGTTTTTGCAGTAATATTTTTCTATAAATGGAAAGCAAAGGACATTTGTCTCCTCCCTTTTTTGCTGATCAGAAAAATGGTCTGATCCGTGACTCAAAAGCCATAGTATGATCCGAACCGTGAGATTTGTGATCCATTACACCACAATGCTTTTGTAATATTTTGTTAATTGAGTTTGTGTATGCTACATTTCTTGCTATTGTTTATATTTTAAAAATTAGTATTTTATGTGAAAAAGTGCTTTGTGTCATGCATAATTTTCGCGTCGGAGTAATAACTTAAATGTTCAATTGTCATTTGACAAATGCTTCCTAATTTCTGTATGTGGATAATTGTAATATTTCAAATCATTTGCACTTCCTTTTTTTACTGCTTAATTTTAAACAATTTAATTTAAAGCTAAGTGGTGACATGGTGGCTCAGTGGGTAGCACTGTCATTTCACAGCAAGAAGGTCACTGGTTCAAGCATTGCCTGGGTCAGTAGCCGTTTCTGTGTGGAGTTTGCATGTTTTCCCCGTGTTGGTGTGGGTTTCCTCCAGGTGCTCCGGTTTCCTCCATAGTCCAAAGACTTGCGCTATAGCTGAATTGATTAAGCTAAATTGGCCATAATGTGTGTGAATGCAAGAGTGTATAGGTGTTCCCCAGTACTGGGTTGCAGCTGGAAAGGTATCTGCTATGTAAAACTTATGCTACATAAATTGGTAGGGATGCACCGAATATTCGGCAACCGAAATTATTAATAATAAGTAAATATAAGTAGAATAAGTAAAAAGGCCGAATAAATTTTGCCGAACAATGACGCTTTTAATGGCGCGATCAAATAGTAACCCGCGTAGAGTGAGAGGCGCGCGCTTTATGCAGCAAACATGTCAGCAGTGTGGAAGCGCTTTAAAGTGTAAGAGAAAGAGGCAAAAACGGCCGTTTGCAGACACTGTTCTGCTGAATTGTCCAGAGGAACGTTCTCTGTCTTCTCGCCCTCTTTGAGCAGATAACAAGAGAGATGAGCTCATCTGTGGCATACATCATACATTTACTTGCAGCACTAAAGCGTTTTTTAAACAAAGAGGCTGACACAGACCACGGGGTGAAAACAGCTAAAAGTGCGCTCTTAGAAGCTGTCAGGGCACGACTCAGAACACCTGTACTTCATCGCGACTGTGCTTGATCCGCGATATAAAAGATCATTACTTGGATATGGGAAAAAAGCTGCGCACACGAGAAATGATCCAGGCCGAGTTGGACTTGGGAAAGCCGTTAGGTATTGGAGACGGTCAGGTGATGCACAGCGCAGGAGATGAAAACAGCGCAGAGAGTAAACGGGCTCGTACTACAGATGAGCCGCCCACCGACAGCCGACAGCGAGAGACTGTTTAGTGCTGCATCTCATGTCATCGATGAGAAGAGGAACCGACTTTCATGCGAGACAGCAGAGAAGCTACTTTTTATAAAGAAGAACCTGCCACTTTTCCTGAAGAAGTAGGCTAAGTAGGCTTATGTCTTGGACAGTTATTCATTTGTTGTCATCCACATTTTTTGCACCATTTGTTGTTGTAGACATGGTTACATTCTTTCAGCAGTCAGTTATAGGCCTAACATAGGCTATTCAAGAAGGGGGGCTTCAAAGATGGCCAAATAAAAATATTTTTTTATTTTACTAATTTATTTATCTTAAGTTATATTGTGCTTTGTTTGTATATTATCTGCTGGAATGTTAAAAAAATGTTCAGTGTTATTTTTGAAATTGTATTTTTGTTATTTGATTTATTTCTCTTAAAAGCAACACAAAATAGTAAAAAGATAGTTTTTACTATTTAATTATTGTAATGGTGAAAAAATTGGCAAACTAAATGGAAAAAAATGCAAAACACCGCATTCGGTATTCGGCCTTCGGCCAAGCAATTCATTATTATTCGGCTTCGGCCAAGAATTTCATTTCGGTGCATCCCTATAAATTGGTGGTTCATTCCGCTGTGGCGACCCCTGGTTAATAAAGGGACTAAGCCGAAAAGAAAATTATTGAATGAATTTAAAGCTAATATTTGACTCTATGTAATGATGTACTCTAGGATAAGATAAAAACTAATACCTAACAAAGGAGCTGTTTTATTTCACGTAACCGTGATCACATGACTACCCAATACTCTCCTTGATAGCCATAGTATTATTGAGCACTAAAATTAATTAATTGTGCATTCTTATATTGGTTTAATGATGAATGGATCATTTAAATGTGTGATTTTTTTTTTTTGTGTTGGCAGGTATTACAGAGGTGCCGTCGGAGCCCTGCTGGTGTATGACATCGCCAAGCATCTGACCTATGAGAACGCAGAGCGCTGGCTGAAAGAGCTGCAGGATCACGCTGACAGCAATATTGTCATCATGTTAGTAGGAAACAAAAGCGACTTGCGTCATCTGAGGGCTGTTCCTATGGATGAAGCTAAAGCATTTGCAGGTTAGTTCTGTGACCTGTTCATTAGTGTTGAGGATGACATTTGTCAAGCTGCTCATAATTACACACTCGTATTGAGTTTCTGGTTGGTCATTTCTCCTGGCAATTGCAGAGGTTTAGGATTACAGTGAAGTAATAAACACTGATTTTTAATTATATAAAAAAAAACATGTAGGGACTCAAGCATAGGGACTACAATATAAAATACCTTTTTTAGATTTATTTTTTAAATTTCATGCTGTTAGTAAGCACAGATGAAACTGACCAGAAGTGATAGTAAAGACATTTATTCATTAATTTTCCTTCGGCTTAGTCCCTTAATTAATCAGTGGTCACCACAGCGGAATGAACCACACAGTTATGCAGCGGATGCCCTTACAGCTGCAACCCAGTACTGGGAAACATCCATACACATTCACACACTCATACACTATAGCCAATTTAGTTTATTCAACTCACCTAGCGCATGTGTTTGGACTGTGGGGGACACCGGAGCACCTGGAGGAAACCCACACCATCACGGGGAGAACATGCAAACTCCACAAACGCCAACTGGCCCTTCCTGACCTTCCTGCTCTGAGGCGACAGTGCTAAACACTGAGCCACTGTGTCGTCCCAAAGACGTTTATACTGTTACAAATTATTCTGAAGGATCGCGAGTTAAATCTGAAGCATTTAAAATGGACCCAAATAGAAAATGTTTGTTTTGTATTGTATTGTGTTATTTTTAAAGATTGTTTTCTTTGGTTAAATAAATGCAGCCCTTGTTCTTTTTAAAATTTTAATAAAAAGATTCTACCGACCCCAGATGTTTGAACAGTGTGTGTGTGTGTGTAATATATTTAAATGATCTGATTAAGTTAACGTAAGTTGTAGTTTTATTTTTTCGCTTTTTTATGTTGCCTGTGCGTTTGTTATATTTCCAACACTAACTCTGAGAAAATAATAAATAAATAAATAAATAAATAATATATTAAGCACGACATCGTGGCTCAGTGGTTAACACTCTTGCCTCACAGCAAGAAGGTCACTGGTTGAAGTCCCAGCTGGGTCAGTTGGCATTTCTGTGTGGAGTTTGCATGTTTTCCCCGTGTTGGCGTGGGTTTTCTCCGGGTGCTCTGGTTTCTTCCACAGTCTAAAGACTGCTCTATAGGTCCAAACTTAATTGGCCGTACTGTACGAGTGTATGTGAATGAGAGTGTGTATAGGTGTTTCCCAGTACTGGGGTGCACCTGGAAGGGCTTCCACTGCGTAAAACATGTGCTGGATAAGTTGGCGGTTCATTCCGCTGTGGTGACCCCTGATGAATAAAGGGACTAAGCCAAAGGAAAATGAATGAATCATAAATAAATACATTTTATTTAAAGTGCTGGGCAAAAACGAATAGCAAATAATCGCATCTAAAATAGTTGATTTTGCAATAAATGTGTGTACTGTGTATGTTCATTATGTACAGTTAAAGTCAAAATTATTAGCCCCCCTTGTATATTTTTTTTCCCAATTTCCGTTTTACGGAGAGCAGATTTTTTTTCAGCACATTTCTGAACATAATAGTTTTAATAATAACTCTAATCTCTAATCTCTAATAACTCATTTATTTTATCTTTGCAATGGTAACAGTACATAATATTTTACTAGATATTTTTCAAGACACTTCTATGCAGCTTAAAGTGACTTTTAAAGGCTTAACTAGGTTAATTAGGTTATCTAGGCAGATTAGGGTTATTAGGCAAGTTATTGGATAATGATGGTTTGTTCTAGACTATTGAAAAAAAATAGCTTAAAGAGGCTAATAATTTTGACTGTAAAATGGTTTATAAAAAAATTAAAACTGCTTTTATTCTGGCCGAAATAAAACAAATGAGACTTTCTCCAGAAGAAAAATTATTATCAGACATACTGCGAAAACTTCCTTGCTCTGTTAAACATCATTTGGGAAATATTTAAAAAAAAAAAAAAAAATCAAAGTGGAGCTAGTAATTCTGACTTCAACTTTATATTTAAATTCTCACATGCATGCATATATTTGGAAAATGTTTATTTATATTTAGATAAAAATTATTTATACTAGGGATTTTTGTAGCCAATACTGAGTACCGATTCCTTGTCATTTTGATCACCTGATATCAAGTACAGATTCTGATGCTTCTAGCTTTATATAACTTTGCCATTGCATAAGCACATTTTGCCTCCCATGTGTGAGATCTCGCCTCACCTAAGAGAATAAATTAAGGATGTTGCATCCATGTAATGGTCAGAAGCAGCTTTACAAAAAATACAGATAAAACAAACAGGAAAAAACGGTTAGAAAAGTACTGATAATGCAATTTGGAAACATTGCTCACGTGTTGTAGTGCTGCAGTCTATAACCCGGCTTGTAAACTCGTAAACAAACATTTGTGATTGGTTCATGAGATCGGCCAGATCAGCGAGTACCGATCAAGCTGTGAAATGTGATTATCGGCCCATACCTATCTTCGGCCTATCAGTCAGAGCATCACTAATATATGCAGTGATGATTTTTAAGTGTTTTGAATTATAAGGACCCAAGGATTGTCCTCATAAACCACCTTATGTCATTGCCCATGTCATTTATACAAAGTCCCTGTAAACCACATAAACAGGTACACGCTTGCGTGCACACATACATGCGGTTAAAATGTGATGATTAATTTTGAGTGTGGTTGTGTGTTTTACAGAGAAACATGGGCTGTCTTTCTTGGAGACGTCAGCGCTGGACTCTTCTAATGTTGAACTTGCCTTTCAGACTATTCTCACAGGTCAGTCCTCAGCAAATCACACAGGAGGGTGAATCTCACAAAGCTTTTGAAAAGTGAATCTCATGAATCTCCTGTCAAGACCATGCACCAGTCATGTTTCAATATTAAATGGTCTCTTTTATAATGGTCTCTTAATATCTATTAACACATTATTTTGATGCTCCACCGACAGACATTCTGTTGACTGTAAGTAACTTTGCAAGTGCATGTCAGCTTCCGCTTACCCTAACCGATTACTACTTCTCTAATGACAGCTAGTTAACATATAGGGCTCTATTTTGACGATCCATGTGCAAAGCGCAGGGTGCAAATGCATTAAGGGCATATCGGAATCCATTTTTGCTAATATAAGGACGGATAAATCAGCTTTGCGCCATGGCGCATGGTCTAACAGGGTTGAGCTTATTCTCTTAATGAGTTATAGGTGTGTTTTAAGAATAAACCAATCAGAGTCTCATCTCCCATTGCCTTTAAGGGTCAGTTGCGTCGTTCCATAGCGCATGTAATATTTACATGGTCGACTTCGTAGGTGGAAAAATTGAACACTTTAACTAGAGAGAAAACAGTTAAACAGAGCATCTGCAGCGCGAGAATGAGAGATGAGCCTCCTGGTGGATGGATATCTATTAGCCTACAAAATCAATTTCGTTTGTGAAGCGCAAAGATTTGTTTCAAAACTATTCCTAAATTCAGTTCTAATTTCCAGCAAACGAAGAAATGAACAATAATAACAAAGTGTGGTCAAGTTATACCCAAATACACATGCTGTGCCCCATATGGTCTAAAACCTGACAGGTGGGCAAACCGAAGCTTGTTTTTAATAAATAAAATAAATATATATATGCATTTAATAAATAATCACGCTGATAATTATAACAGTATACAAAAGCAAATTGTTATGGATAAATTGAAAAAGCCCCCCGAGATGAAGAAGGCATGAAAGTATGGTTTTATATTTATGTAGGCTAGAAAATAATATTTTTTGTAATATTTTAATCCTTTATTTCTTTTTCATTTGTAAAGATATTTGCATATTGCTGTGCATCCTTTATGTATTAAGCAATGTTTAAGCGAGGCGCACAACTAACGCGCTCTGCGTTGGACTATAGACCTGATTTGATCTAGTCTATTGAACCGTTTATTATAGTTCCTCAAAGTAGCAACTCGCCAGCAATGCACCTCAACACGCCTCCTTTTTCAGACCAGAACACGTAAGAGTGCACATATGAGCGCAAATGCATTTGCTATTTAAACAGCATGCTGCAAAACATCAAAATGACTATTGCCCCCAGCTGAAACTAGCAAACAACAATTGCGTTGCACCTTGCACCGCATTGCACCGGTTGTATGATAGGGCCCTTAGTTATTTATAGTCAACAGGGCGTCTAATGGAGACCAGCAAATAAATGATTACCCAGTAATTGTTTCCTCTATTACAGAGGCTTTAAGAGAAACACTTTGAATGGATGTTGAAAGAAAGTCAAACGTGAGCATTGACAAAATAAAAAAAGGCAATAAAAAATGTGAATTTGCAGACAAAAGTCATACATTTTATTATTTATGTATTTATTATTATTATTATTTGTAAATTTCAAATAACTAAAATGCAGAAGTATTTATTAGACACTCTTTGTTTATGCTTGATTTTTGTCATGCCTTTTTAAAAATTTTGCCTGAATTAAAATTTTTTTATAATTATCATAACAACAGCAACAACAATAATACATTTTATTTGATGCACTTTTTAACTTGGTGCTATGACATACAAACAAAATAAGACTGCATCCAAAGACAAAATGACAAACTTGCATAATAAAATCATAGCAATAAATCACACTGCAGTAATCTATAAAAACAATAAGCAAAATTACAAATTGCAAAATAACAATGATAGTGATGAATCACAAATTAAACTGTTGGTGCTGTATTACAGAAGTCTTAATAGAAAGATGAAAATTACATGAAACTACAAAGCGAGCAATGCCAACATCATTAATTATCATATTTCTTGACAGTTTTTGTGAGATTCAATTTCAATTAATGCAATCCATAACCAGAGGTCGTTTGTATGTTATCAAATATTTCCTCTAGGTGGCGTCAAACTCCATGCTACTGCATTGCTCTGCTTTTTTTTTTTTTTTTGCCTGTAAATGAAAACTTTAAAAGTTAGCCACATAGAATTTGTGTGTTTTGCTTTATTTATTTATTTTTTTGGAGCTTTGCTGTGCTTTTCCTTTTTTTTTTTATTTGTTCATTTTCTTTAATTTGGTGTGGGAAATCCCTCTCTTCAGCCACACAGTTACACTGTTCATTTCTATGTGTCTCAATGAACAGCAGCTGAAGTCATTCCACTGTCAGACTGTCATACCTGAAAAGATCACGTTTAACAGTCAACCCACTGTAACGGCGATCTCTGCCCGACTCTCTCTCATACAGAAATCTACCGTATCGTGTCCCAGAGGCAGATGTCGGGGCGTGGAGATGACGGCTTCTCCCCCAGCTCCAAAGTGGTTCCCATTACGGTGCAGCCCACACAAAATTCTGGCAAGCAGAGCGCCTGCTGTCAGAATAACTGAGCTGCCACAGCGCCACCAGGGGACCCAGGGAATAACAGCAACTTTGTTTGGGCTGGGCTGCGAGTTTGATCGTGTCCGACTGCGCTGTATTTCCAGTCGGAGAGATGATGATGATGATGATGAGAAATTGAAGCGATGAATGGATTTGCTCAGAACTGACTTGTTTCAGACTAATTAGAAATGAGCAGTTAGCTGGAGCGCTCAGACGTGGCGGCTCTCTTTTATTTTCTGGCACTTTTTGTCAAAAAACAATGGGCTGGAAGAACCTGGAAAGGGCTTGGATTGCGTAATGCTACTTATTATTAAAGGTATAGCTCACCCAAAAATGAGAATTCAACATTTAAGCACCCTTAAGTTGTTTGAAACCTTTTTTCTGTTTCTGTTTGTTTCTGTTAAACACAAAAGAAGATGATTTAAAAAATGTCAGAAACTAATAGCCATTGACATTCTTAGTAAATAAATAGATTAATAAAAGACTGTGGAAGTGAATGGTGACCAGATTTCAACAATCTTCCAAATGTTTTCTGTTGAATAAAACTGTTTCTGTTAAATACAATAGAAGATGATTTGAAAAATGTTGAAAATCGGTAGTCATTGACATCCCTAGTAAATGGACATTTTTATAAAAAAAATAAAATACTGTGGAAGTGAATGACTACCAGATTTTAACAATCTTCAAAATGTATTTCAGAAGAACGGAACTCAAAACAGGCTTGAAAGAGAGGGACTAAATGCCATTCAAAGCTTTGTGAGTTTCTTTTTGTTTCTGTTTAACACTAAAGAAAATAATTTGAAACATGTGAGAAACTGGTAGCTATTAAAATTCGTTCCTTGTAAAAATAAAAATAAACAAAATACTGTTTAAGTGAATGGCTACCAGATTCCAACAGTCTTCAAAATGTTCTCAGAAGAAAACGAATCTGTTAAACACAAAAGAAGATGATTTGAAAAATGTTGGATACTGGTAGCCATTGACATTCAAAGTAAAAAATATGAATTAATACAATACTGTGGAAGCGAATGGCTACCAGATTTCAACAATCTTTAAAATGTTTTTAGAAGAATGAAACGGTTTCTGTTGAACACAAAAGAAGATGATATAAAAAAATGTTTGTAAAGTGGTAGCCATTGTTATCCATAGTAAAAATATACATAAATAAAATAGTGGAAGCTACCAGATTTCAAAATGTTTTCAGAAGAAAGAAACTCAAAAGAGCTTTTAAAGAGAGGGACTGAATGTCTTTCAAACCTTTATTAGTTTCTTTTTGTCTCTGTTGAGCACAAAAGAAAATAATTTGAAAGATGTCGGAAACCAGTAGCCATTGAAATCAGTGGGAAAAATTATGGAAGTTAATGACTACCAGACTTCAACAGTTTTCAAAATGTTTTCAGAAGAATAAAACTGTTTCTGTTGAACACAAAAGAAGATGATTTGAAAATGTTGGAAATCGGTAGCCATTGACTTCCATAGTAAAAACTATAAATAAATAAAATACTGTAAAAGTAAATGGCTACCTCATTTCAACAGTCTTCTAAATGTTTTCAAAAGAAGGAAACTCGAGACAGGTTTTGAAGAGAGGTAGTAAATGCATTTTAAACCTTTATAAATTTCTTTTGTTTTGTTGAACAAAGAAGAAGATGATTTGAAAAATGTTGGAAACTGGTAGCCATTGACATTCATAGTAAAATTTATTTAAAAAAAAAATACACCTGGAAGTGAATAGGTACCAGATTCCTGCAATCTTCAAAATCTTTTCAAAAGAAAGAAACTCTAAACAGGTTTTAAAGAGAAGGACTAAATGATGTCATATTCATTTTTGGGTGAACTATCCCTCTTTTGATCAAAATTGGGATTTACTAGTGATATTCTACATGTAATATTTTTGTTTTCTTTAGTGTTTCAGCGCAGAAGTAATCTGCCAGCTTTTCCATGCATCTGTATACCTGAGAAATTCACACTGTGGTCATCATAGCCGCTGGTTTTTGGTCAATTTTTTACACATTTGCTGCTGTAACGGCTTTTATTGTGGTATTTATTGCAAATATGGTCTTGTTCTGGTTATGTGGTGTTTTTGCTCTTTTGTTTGTCATGCTTCTTTTTTTCCATCACTGGATTATTGATCGGCATTTCTAAAGGGTTTCTCCTTCCAGTCATGGCACTCATTTGTATGAGCGCTGGGAGTGTTGTCTGTGGATCAGAGTAATGTTAATAGGTTAAGTTAATAGATGCACATGTTTGTAGTGTTTGATAATGGCATTGTATGTTCAGAATTAGGGTTGGGAATTGTTTTATTATTTTCAAATGTTTTTTTTATTATATTTTCATGACCTCAATGATGGGTATTTTTAACTTATGCATTCTTCTGCATAACCAACATCACTTATGTGTACAAAATAATGATTATACAGCTTTAAATTATTATTTTTCTCCCCATATGTTATTACGTCCTGTATTTTCTGTGCACAAAATATATATATTTATGCCTAGGCCTGTCACAGTAATCAATATATTGACTTATGGTGCAATACTTGGAGATGACCTCAATAGTTTTTTTCCATTGCAATATATATTTACAAATTCACCAATAACGTTCAAGCCATTTTACAATGATGTTTACATTCTACCGGTGTCAACGATTATAAATGGACATTTGCTCAAGACAACATTTAATATTGTGTGTATATATATATGTGTGTATATATATATATATATATATATATATATATATATATATATATATATATATATATATATATATATATATATATATATATATATATAATAGGATAGGATAGGATATTTACCTTTTAAACATCTAATTCTAGAATCTAAATAAATCTAAATATAGTCGGTGGCATAAAATAATCTCAACAGTAATATTGCTCATTGCAACAATTTCTCTGACAATATATCGCACAACATAAGTTCCTTATTCTGACAGGCCTGTTCATGCCACGATTTACAAAATACATTTAGAACCATCTCATTTTGTGCATTAATAGTTGATATACCAAAAACTTGATGCATATTTAGAGCTATAGAAGCTTTTAATGTTAAATTCAAAGATGCTTTAAGGATTTGAGTTAAGCCCCAAGATAATAATTAATGTGTCGTTGTGAATCTTTATACTTTGCTACTATCCTTCAAACCACTACGTTTTGCTGATTTGTCAAGAAAGTTTTGATCATTTAATAAATAATAAAATTTAATATGATCACTTGTTTAGAATATGTATGTTTTTTTTTTATTATTTAAAGAATCTGTTATGTTGAATTGTGATGGACATTAGTTTTCTACAGGTTTCATCAAGTCATTTAAGACTTTTTAAGACCACTATGAATGAAAATTTAGACTTGCACAAGGCTAAATGCTAAGGATTTTTTCTAATGTCCCAGTTTAAAAAAAATTATATATATATATATATATATATACATACACACACACACACACACACACACACACACACACACACACACACTAACACACACATTTCAATGTGTTATTGTAAGAAAGATGACTAAACCAAATTGGTAAATCCAGTTAATTAATAAGCTTTTTTATTTGATTTATTTTTCTTTTTTTTCCTTTTATTGAGATGGAATGTTAGTGATTGGATAGGTGTTGGTCCGATAGGGTAGCTTTACATGGACATAAGAAATTGAAAACCTGTTTAAAATTATTTAAGACCTACTACACAATTTTTCAGTGAGTTTTAATGTAAATGTAAGACATTTTAAGACCCTGCAAATACCATGTTAGTACACCCACTTATTGCAATGTTTTGTGTAGTAAACTTAATATTTGATTCACTTGCATTTCATATGCTTTCTATGCATTTGAAATCACTTTTGGCAATTTGATTTTATGCAGACTATAATAGGTCTCATTTTCGAGACAAAAAAAAAAAACATTCTGTAACAGGATTTAAAAAGTTTAGAAACTCAGATTTTGCTGTACGCTCTAAAAATATCTATTAATAAGGTCCAATTTTGCAATTCAAAAAATAAATTAAAAGTGGAGAAATACAAACAGTGATGACAAAATATGGAAAACTGCTAATTTATGGATATTTTTACAGCGGATACACTACCGGTCAAAAGTTTGGGATCGTTTTTTTATTTATTTTTTTCTTGTTTTTTTAAATTATACTGTTCATTAAGGCGGCATTTATTAAATATTTTAAAAAATTTAATACTTAATATTAAATATTTATCTATTGCTTATTGTATGTAGTTTCAAATCAAATTTTTATTACTATTACCAGTAATAATAATAATTAATATCTACTTTAAAATTTGGACTCTTATAGAAATATGTTAAGTTGCTTTCACACAATATACATAGTAAAAAGCTCTATGTAAACAAACATTCATTTAATTGAATAGTAGAGGGATTTCCGTAGGATCATGTGACTCTGGAGACTGGAGTAATGAATGAAAATTCGTCATTAAAATCACTGGAATAAATAATTACAATAAATTATAAACTACTTTTGAACAGTTATTTTATAGTGCAATAAAATTTCACAATTTTACAATTTGTACTGTTTTGATTAAATAAATGCTGCCCTAATGAGCAGGAGATTTACTTAAAAACAATTAAAAATCCTACAGACCCCAAACTTTTGACCGGTAGTGTATATATTTAACTTTTTTTTGGACGTTCACAAATTGTGAAAATAACATATTACAGAAATGTAACTGTTAATGTATTTCACAATATGATTTCATAAGTTAATTTGAATGAATTTACTAATAATAGACAATACTTGTACATCATTTAATAATCATAGTTCAGCATTTACTAATGCATTATTAAAATCTGGGCAGCACGGTGGCGCAGTGGGTAGCACATCCGCAAGAAGGTCACTGGTTCGAGCCCCGGCTGGGTCAGTTGACATATTTGTGAGGAGTTTATTTGTTTTTCCCATGTTTGCGTGGGTTTTCTCCGTGCTCCTGTTTTCCTCCACAGTCCAAAAAAGCATGTACTATAGGTGAATTGGGTAAGCTAAATTGGTGTATGTGTGTGAATGAGTGTGTATGGATGTTTCCCAGTGATGGGTTGCAGCTGGAAGGGCATCCGCTGTGTAAAACATAAGCTGGATAAGTTGGTGGCTCATTCCGCTGTGGCGACCCCAGATTATTAAAGGAACTAAGCCGAAAAGAAACTATGTAAAATCTAAAAATAATTAAAATCTTAAATGTAAATAGTTAACGCACTGCAAGTTTACAAGAACTAACAGAACGACTTTAATTTTAACAAAGACTGATAAATACTGTAATGTATTGTTCACCATTTGTTCCTGTTAGTAAATAAATGAACACAACCTTATTCTACAGTATTACCATTTGTATTCTTTGTGATTCCTAGATTTTCTCAAATTCACAACTGAAAATAAATGGTTCATTACAAATTGTTATAATTTGTATAAGCTGAATTTAAACAAACAAATTGGGTTAAACATTACTTCATTTACATTTTTTAAATTCAGCCCACATTAATTGTTTACACTTACCTTAAAAAAAGACCTTCAGTGTAAAGAGTAGAATAGTAATTTCCAAACATTATTCATTGAACACTGAAAAACAATCAAGGAACCAGAATCACTAAAGTGTGGTTTATTCATAAACT